CTGCCGCGGGGGATTTGCGAGCTGCCGCTATGCTAGGACTAACGTGGGGGGCCTCACGGCCCGAAGTAACGCCGCCATCGATGACCGTTTTCCGGCCGGCGACAGACCCGATTCGGCCCAGCTTCCCTATAACAATCACACGCGCACGCGCGCGCGCGCCCCGCCCGCGCCCGCGCCGCGCTGGCGCTGGGGCGCTGGTGGCCTGGGGAGCCTGGGCCTTGAGGGCCTGGGGCCCTGAGGGGCCCTTGGGCGCTTGGGCGCGCGCGCGCGCGGCAATGATTCCCACGCAGCCATGCTGCGCGTGCGCAACGGGGGCTGACGCGGGGACAGCCCCACTGCGGCTTGCTATCTTGCCTGCGGGGGGGGGCTGGCCTTCGGGCCCTGCCCCAACCCTGCGCTCTTGCCTGCCCCCCGCGCGGGAGAGGCTGGGCACACGCTGGTGGCAGGGGCTGCGGCAGCGATTGCCAACCAGTGGGAGAAATCGGCAGCGCGGATTTGTGCCGCTGGGAGGCCCGTCGGGGAAAATCGGCAGCGCAGATATTGTGCCCGCCGCGGATCGGCAGCGCAGATTTGTGCCCGCCGCGGAAAATCGCAGCGCAGATTGTGCCCGCACGGAAAATCGGCAGCGCAGATTTTTTGACGAACATGGGCTGGACGCTGGGCTGGCCAGGCAGCAGGAAAATTCGTCTAGGGGGTAGGCTCACGGCAACGGGGGCTGACGCGGGGACAGCCCCTGCTGGCTTGCTATCTTGCCTGCGGGGGGGGCTGCCTTCGGGCCCTGGCCCCCTGCGCTCTTGCCTGCCCCCCGCGCGGGGAGAGGCTAGGCGCTGCTGGGGCCAGCCCGACGTCGCTGGCCGCGGCATGCGAGCTGCTGGTTTTTCCCGCATTCCGCCAAGAAAACGTTGTGCTTTCCACATGAAATCAATCCAGTAAATCAGCCATATTTTTGTGAGGCTGCCAGCCGAATTTGGGGTCATTCCGGGCCGGTCCTATTTTTGCGTATTTCCTTGATTTTTAATGGTAGGAAAATAAAAAAAACTACTTTCCGGACCCGAAAAATTCTGGTTATTTTGGAGGTGGATTGGATTTTTGCCAACCTATGTGCAAATTTCAGCTCCAAAATACCAAGAATGAACTTTTTTAGAGGGGGGTGACAGCTGGGACCCTAGTAGTGTCTACCCCTGCCAGAGCTGCAATAACACTTATAGCTCTTTTAGGGGGGTGACCCCCGACCGGCCATGGGGCGCGCTGGATGGCGCCATAGGCCTGCCGCGGGGGATTTGGGAGCTGCTGCTACACTCGGACTAACGTTGGGGGGCCTCATTGGCCCGAAGTAAGGCCGACCATCGATGACCCGTGTACTTTCCGGCCAGCGGCGACGACCCGATTCGGCCACCGATCCCCAGGACCCGGCCTCACCAAGCCGTTTGGGCGCGTCTGGGGACTGCTTATCCTCGGCACAGTGGGCGGTGGGCCTTAAAAAGCCAGCGCCTGTGCCAAGGTAGCTGGCAGGCTGCTGCGCGCCTCTCAGCTTGCCGCGATGTCCCGGCGGCGGGGGCTGATTCCGGCAACCGTCCCTGGACCCGCTCCAAGCCGTTGGGCGCGTTGGGGCTGCTTATCCGCGACGCGGGCGTGCACGCACTCTGTTGCCGCGCTCGTGCCAAGGTGCTGGCAGCCCCAACGCGCCCAACGGCTTGGCGCGAGTCACGGCTATGTCCCGATTCCGGCCACCGTCCCCGTGACCCGCTCCAAGCCGTTGGGCGCGTTGGGGCTGCTTATCCGCGACGCGGGCGTGCTGCATTCAGTTGCCACGCTCGTGCCAAGGTGCTGGCAGCCCCAACGCGCCCAACGGCTTGGCGCGACGTCACGGCGGCGGTGGCCGCTGCCTGTGCTCGCAAGTTGGAGGCCTGGCCGACGTGTCTGGTGCGGACCGCCGAGCTTGGGGATTGCGAGGAGAGCTCTACGCTGGCGTGGGCGTGGCATTAAATTGCTGCGCGTGCGCCCATGTGTTGTTGGCTCTCCTCGCCATCCCCAAGCTCCTGCGCGATGTGCCGATGCCGAGGGCCTGGCCTCATCTTCGAGAATGAGGCACAGATGGCCCCAGAATGTGTTGTCCATGTTTCTCCCCCCCCGCGGCCTGTCCTCCGAGATCCGCGCGTCCCCCGCGGCCTGTCCTTCGAGATCCGCCGCGTCCCCCGGGTAATGTCCATTCGAGATCCCCCGGTACCAACGCGGCTGTCCCGTCGAGATTCCCCCGCGTCCCCCGCGCTTGTTGCGTGTCCCTTCGAGATCCCCCGTGTCCACGCGCGCTTGTTGCTTGTCCCTTAGAGCTCCTCGCGTCCCCAGCGGCGTGTGCTACCTAGAGATCCTTCCGCGTCCTAGCGGTGCGGCACGTCTCTCTCGGGTGTTTCCACTTGCCCTGTGGCACGTGGTTCGCTCGTCTGGATTGTTGTCGCGTGTACGCAGAGTCGCATGAGCGGTAATTGGGCTGTCCGTGTCG